TAGATCTCATTCTCCCTCATTTTCAAACCCTAGTTCCTACGCAGCTGTAACCTCACCCATTTCCTCCATCTCCGGAGTGAACCAGGTGTCGATCTCTCCCTCTTCTCGGATCCTTTTCCTCTTTGCATTTCATCTCTCCTCTCTTTGATTCAAGGTAAGATCCGAGACCCCATTATTGATTTCACACCTCAATTTATTAAGAGTATGCTTTAAGTGTTTGATCCGTTCCAATATTCATGATAATTGTTGGCCATGGATGAACTTTTAAGCTTTTCATGTATATATGTCTATATTCGTCTTTATGTCGTGTCCATTATAATGAGTTACTTTAATTTTTGGGAGTGTGAGCCATTCTAGGTGATTGGGATTGATGTTTGTTATGTTGATAGGCCCACGAACATGTTCATGTGGGTCCCGTGCTTCCACAATCACAGATCTGTGACTTCTCATTTTTCACAGAACACAGTTCAATCGATTAAACTTGTGTCTCAGATCGATCGAAGTTGTGAGATCGATCTCACTTACTTTCGATTGATCCAACCTTTGTGATCGATCTTACATACACACTTCATTCATCTTATTTTCACTTCATGCTATCATATTTATGCCCAATGCCTGTGATATTCCACATTGGATGCATTTCATACTTACATTGCTTAGCATGCTTCACATCCTATCACTTGCATAGATTCATGTCATATATGTTTTGTTTATCTTATTTGACATACATATTTCTATTGTGCTTTCAATTATTTATTCTAGCGTTAACTCCTATTGCAAGATTTCCTTTTTGCAGACCATGACTAAGAATGACAGTTCTTCTACTTCAGCCACACCTGAGGCTCATGATCAGATATGTCGCTTAGAGGAGCAACTTCAGAGTTTGGAGGATATGTTGGTTGCCCTTAGAGCTGACATTGCTACCCTTCGTCTGAATATGATGGCTGCCATTAAGCTGACATTGCTCGCCTCCGTACGGAGATCTTGACTGCCATTGATAACTTAGCCAGGGAGATCCGCGGAGTTCCCTTTGCTTGAGACTCCCAGTCTCTTTATCTTTTTATGCTCTCTATCTATGTTGTGTGTCTACTATACTTGTGATACTATTATTTTTGTAGCCAGGTCTGTCGGCTTTGACACTGGATGTATTGTACTTTATTGTTGTTTTTATCTATGATGGATGTCATATGCTTTTATTGATACATCTGTCATTTTAACTCCATCAGGTGCATCATAGTGACTTCAGTGAGAGAGTGCTACCCGATTTTCAGGACCACCCTTATACCTCTCTCATCTCTTTATCCGTTTATCCCATTTACACTTGCATGTCCACTGTGCACTACTTATCCTATTTTGTTATCTGATGGGTTTATCCAAGTGCCAATTTTTAGGACTATAGTTCATCCCAAGTTTGGGGGGGCTATGCCACCCACTTTGGATACTTCAGTCCCGATCATTCTTGCTTAGTTGCACTGGTATACTCTTTCCCTTGTTCTCTTGCATATTGAGGACATTGTGCCATTCAAGTTTGGGAGGAATGGTGCTTTGCAGTGTTAGCTTTAAATTTCAAGATTTTGAGCATGACTTATGTAATTGAGGGATTTTTCTATAATTGGTCCATATTTAGTAATGATTTTGATCTTTTGAGGACTATATTGCTTAAAATTTAAAAATTTCTTGATTTGAGAGTCCAATATTCCTTTTATGCCTTATGGAAGCCATTTAGGAGTAAATTTTTAAAAAAATTGATATCTTGCTTGCACTTGTGGTCCACATCATCTTGATTTTGTGATTGTTTTGAGATTCATTCTAGGATTCTACACTAGCATAGGCGCACACTAGGATTCATTTGTGAGGTACATGCTTTGTTGATTATTGAATTAGTTATATCCCAATTGAGCTAGTAGTGCATTGAAAGCTTTCATTCTTGATAAAGGTGGATAACAATCCCTTTTCACTAAGTAGTTGGGATTCTAGCCTTATCAAGTACTAAACTTCTCGCGCCAAAAGGTGGAGAGCCCAAGCTCTAGATTAATAATTGAATATAAAAAAAAAATAAAAAAAAAGTGAGGACTTCTTCCAAAAGGTGAGAAGTGAGAAATGATTATATGGTTGTTATCTTGATTTGTAGCCTAGTTGATTTGAGCTTGTAAGTTCGTAGGGGTATTTGAATGCCTAATGGCCTAAAGCCGTCTGGTTTGGGAGTCATTGACCTGACACTCGACCTCATGAATCGCTAGAAAGCTTAATAGATCAACACATTGCACTATGCTTCCATCTTTGATCCTATAAAATAAAAAAATATTGAGTGAAAAGAATGAGTCCACTTCTTGTCTTGATGATCGGTACTAGATTTGTGTGCTAGTTTGAGGGTAAGGATGTGATTAATTCTTTAATTGGCTAAAATAGTATCACATTTGATGTCGATCCACTCAAAAGGATTCTAGAGTTGTTTTGATTTGCATAATCATTTTCTTAATGTGGGGAGGACCATACTTGCTTGCTTTATGTTGAGATTTTGGGAGATTGCTTGGAAATGTTTGGAAAATTGCATACTTGAGGTAGTTTTCTCCCAATGCTTATTTGCAATATTGGTACCTCTTTTGTGATAATGAGCTTAATGTTTGTGGGTACCATTTCTGAAAACCCTAACGAGACTTCACTCGTCCACTAGGGGTAACCTAGGGGTTTAAAAGGCTTGTTGTGTATGCGAAGTGCAATCGTGTTCCCTACGAAAGTGGCGTTATCCATTTATCATTTTTTTTTAGATTCATACTTGTATAGTTGTTCATTTCATTCTTTTACTTTCTAGTTCATTGCTAGGGACTAGCAATATTTAAGTTTGGGAGTGTGATGAGCGCTAAAACGTGCGTATTTAAACCCCTTAAGCTTAAACATTTTAGTACCTTTATCTATCTTACTTTATCGTTGTAGATTGATTTCGTAATATTTCCATTTCCAGGCATTTATCCTAAAAATAAGCTAACTCAGCTAAATAAGAGCTTAATTGAAGCAATTCTGGGATTAAACAAAGAAAGGAGCAAAGTGGACAAAGAAAGAAGCAAATAAAACCAAAGGTGGGAAGCAGCAAAGTTCAATCAATCCAATTTCAAGGTTCGATCGATCGAACACTGATCGATCTCAGCACTTCAAGATAGATCCAAACCTTGACCCAAAGCAGAAAGTCAAAAGTTCGATTGATCCAACACCACCCTTCGATCGATCGAACACTTTTATCCTTATTCAAATGATTGATCTTATCCACCATGTACCACCCTACCAACCACTTTTGTCATTTTTCCAAAAATATCTCCCAAAATATCTCGGATTTGTCTTTTCCCAAAAAGCTCATCCAGTTGGATCGATTCAGCCTCAGTTTGATAGATCTCAGCCAAGTTCGATCGATCCAAGTCCAAGGTTCGATCGATCGAACTTCCTCCAGTGCGAAAAAGTTAAAAAGCCATCTTGTTCAATCCATCCTCTATCCAATCATTAGAGAATATTCTTTGCACGACCCTAGCTCATTTTGCGTGTCATTTGACCTACCTATAAAAGGAATATGATGCACTTTTTGAAAGGGGGACTTAGCATTTGGTAGATACAACTTTGGAGGCTATTCTTAGGGTAGAAGAAAAAAAGAGGAGGCTAAAGACACAAAAGGGGGGAGTTCTTCATCAACAAGGAGCATATTTCTTCTATGGAGTTAGCCCTTGAGGGTTGGAGCAACATCACCATGAGTGGCTAGACATCCTCTTGGGGCTAGAGTTAGCCCCAAGCATGTTTTCTATATCTTAATCTTGTGTATTATTGAGGGATTAGTGTTGTAATTAATGTTTTGACACTTTGATATATATAGATCTTGATTGTTCAATGATTTATGTGATTAAATACTTTCAATTGATCATTTCATTCTATCCATATGTCTATATATGCTAGAATAGATGTTCATGTGTTTGTCTCTATTTCTTGTGTTATTAACGCATGTTTATGTGTATTAATGCTATAGATCTAGAGATTGTCAAAACATTGTGCTTAAAAGAATGCTCTTGTGATTTTCTAGATGGTTCATACTCATTTCTTGATGGATTGTGGCTCTCCCTTAGCTTAATTAGTTTAATTTCATGTCATTAGCTTAATTGTAGTGTAGTGGTAGCATAGTTGTTAGATGGGAGGGCAATCCATGCTTGTTGTTTGATGTTCCATAGTTTTGAATGCAAGTAGCATATGTCTTTAACCTTGTGGTGTATTTGGCTTATGAGCTTAATGAAAGGATTAATGACTTGCTAGATATGTTGTGCTTTTCACATGCTATTTAGACAATATATACTTAATTGCTAGATATAATGTGCTTTTCACATGTTGATTAGACAATGTATGTTTAATTGATCACCCTTACTAATTGAATTAACCAAACACACACACACATCAATATTGCAACACACATTACCCTCATTAGTCACTAGTTGAAGGTGCAGAAAAGCATTGCTTGGAGGTGATCTCTAAACCCCAAGATTTCTCTCTCTCTTACTTACTCTTTATTGCATTCAATTATTTAGTTTAATTTGCTCTCTAGTTTAATCAACCAACCAACCATTTGTTTGATCATTCGACCTACTAACCCTAATAGCGATTCCACAACCAAGTACGACTCCAATCCCTTGGGACGATCCCTACTCGCCCTAGCTATATTTATAGTGAAGGGTAGTAGTGGCTTTTATAAATGTAAAACTCTTGACCCTCGCCTAAAATTCACACTCTCAAACTTGATCGTAGTGCGATGAACCAGTCAATACACACACTCTTCAGTCACGAATTTATATAAAATGAATTTTTGAGTTATTTATGAATATCTAAATCATAGATAATAATGATTACATAGTGAAGTAGTGTTATGTGTGTTTGTGTGTGTGTGTGTTTGTGTATATATATATATATATATCACTTGCTATGCATTCTTTCTGAATAATACACACATTTTGTGTTTTTGAAATGGTTAAAAACATTGTTTTTAGGAATTGAAATTTGTGCCTAAACATTTGATTAATTCTAGTTGGGGAAAAACTTCATGGATTAATTTGTTTGTCAATATAGTTTCCTTTTTCTTTTGTTTCTCTTTTTTTTATGTTGTTGCTAAGAATACATGGTTTTGCAAATTTGATTGGGGTTTTTGTGGTTCAAGGAAGGGAATGGGTGATAAAAAGAAGAATTTCATAAAGCTTGTCTCTGCTGCTGGAACTGGATACTTCTATTTGCAGAGGAAGAATCCGGCTAGGATCCCGACAAAACTCGAGTTCCGGAAATATGATCCTTGGGGGAATCACCACGTATTGTTTACTGAGGCGAAGATGAAGTGACTGGGAAGGCTTCTTGAATGGTATATATGGTATTCCTATTTTAGAATGTGGATCAATATCGTATTCCTATTTCCTCTAGATTGGTTTTTCGCTGGTTGATGTAGAGCTTGATGCTGTTTTGATTGTAGTCTTTGTGATGTGAGTGCCAAACTTTCATATCTTGACAGCCGTTACTCTTTTGCATAATGTTTCCTGACACATGGTTCATTTTGATATGTGCATTTTCATGTTTTTTTTTATCAACGGGGACAGAAATAATAGATTTCACAATACTTAATTAACTTCATTTTAGGTCCTACAGACATGGCGTACTGATTTGTTTGAAATAATTGATTTCACAACACTTGGTTAACTTCATTTAAGGTGTTACAGAGGTGATCAGTTGGATCTTTGATTAAGTAAAATCTTTTTTTTATTTTTTATTTATTGACCTCTTCCTTTCTTTAATCGATAGGAGGTCAAATTTGGATTGTTGTTCATATATTAGTGAAGCTATTTCAGTCTAATTCAATCTAACAAAAATAGAATCATGCTCTGTAGGATTTGAACCTACGACATTGGGTTTTGCTTACTGATTTGTGTGACACGCCATAAATTGGCACTTTATGTGGTATATCTTTGAATCTTTTACTGCCAAAAGCAGACTGACTTCAACTTCTTGATTTTCTATAAAGCTTGGATGAAGAATGTTCCATCTCAAAACCCGGTTACCCATTGATTTTTTTATTTTTATTTTTTTCTATTTTTTTCAAATTCAGTTCAAGTGGAGAATAAAACCAACAACTAGAGAGTTTTCAAATTTCTAAGGCATGTCTTAATTCTTCAGGTTCAACTGCCACTTTCTTGATTCTTCCTCCAATGACAATACCCTTCTTTCAAATTTCAAAGGCATGTCCTAATACTTTTCTTCCTTGTGATGAAGAAGGGTTCTCTTTCCTTTTTTTCTTTTCTTTTTTTTTTTTTTCTTTTTTTTTTTTTTTTGTCTTAAAAGTAGTAATGTAGAAAGGTATTCCTATGGGTCAGGTAAACAACTCACACACACTTTTTTGCCTCTAGAGAGGCATGAGCCCTCAATGCAACAAGGCTATGTGGATCCATCTCTGAATGGAATGAGGCTATGTGGGAAAAAGTTAAATAATCATACATCTTAAAATAAATGTAAACACGATGAAACAGACGGAATTCAGACAAGACCAAAGGGAACATTAAAAGCTCCAAGCATTGAAGGTTTATCAAAGATTGGATGAGGTGTTTATATTTATGCACACACTCAAGCGTTGAGCCCAGCCATTAGTTTGATTAAAGAATGAATGAAAGTAAAAATTAAATCATATCGAGACAACAAGTCATCAAATGAAACTATTAGCATTTGACATCACAACAAATGTGATCAATTACAAATATCTCTAGTTTCACCTGTGAGCATTTCTATGGCTACCATCTTCTTCATTGACCTACTGAACTCCTTGAAGAAAGCATGAGGCGAATAGTTTCACTATCGTTTCCGAGCTTATATCTGTCAAGAGCGCCACGTCAGATTGGAAAAGACCCATTTCTGGTTTAAGATGCTAAGGTAACTACTATCGAATGAAAGCGGGCTCTTAGAGTCCATCTTTGCAGTTGTCGCGGGATTAGCAAGATTTGGACACTGTTTTCTCAAGGACTCAACATATGCTGCACTTCGAGTAGGATCTACATCACCTTTACCAGTAAAGTTGCAAAGCTTCCTCGAGAAAGTTCCACAATGAGCAACACCAACGGTAAATTATCTTTTTGAGTTGCTAATATTTGTTGCTTGTGTGTTTCATATATATACATTAAATGCACTGTGACTTTATATAGGCTCTATGACTTCAACACTAGTACTTGAAATTGTGTGTGTGAGTGTGTATTCCAAAGCTAATGACATGTGCATCTGATACCGCAGTTATCTAAACGTGATTGTGTGTGTGTGTGTGTATCGTAAGGCTAAGGATGTGGTTATGACTGTAACAATATATGGACATGGATGTATTATATATTTGTAACACGTCCAAATCTATAGGTGATTATATAACATTTTACCTGTTAATGCCACAAGATCAATAGCATTGAGACCTTTATTTTCAATATTTTGCTTCAGTGTGGTGAAGTTTGAGAAGGATGTTGGTATGTTTCCATTGACACACGCACACACACACAAGTATTCTTAATTGAAATTGCTTTTAAATGCACAATCATCTGAGTTATTGTATACAAACTTACTAGGAAGGAAACAGAATCATGAGCGGTCAAGGCTAGAATGTCAGCACAGGAAACAATACCAGGGAAAACTTGTTCAATTTATGACTTGATATTGTCAATTACATTAAAACCTGACAGAGTAAGGTTAGGTATTGTATCTTTCTCAGATTGATTAGTCCCAACTTTGTCTAATAGTACAGATGCATCATATCCCTGCCACAATCAAACAACATGAATGTGATAATGAATTTGAAAACTAAAGTAATATATGTGTGTGTGTTTGGGTGTAACCAATGTAGGACATATGTTGCTAGCTATTTGATCTCAAAGCAAAGAATACCATGCGAGAAAAAAAAAACTTGGTTGTAGGAAATGGACATACCCTAACAAAACAATCAAGAAAGTGTATTCTAAGTAGTTTGGCACCTAGAGTAAGGTCATTTTGAACTTTGCTCCATGCTATGTCCCTCACAAGCTTCTCAGCGTGTGGGCATCTATTCCAATACAGGTTCTTCCTCAACCCATCTGCATTTTCATGACGAAACCTATGGTCAACACACTTATTCTTCTGAAAGTTTTTCCTCTCCAACTGAAGATGCAAGAAATTCATTCTTCTTTCTCTCTCTAGAATTCTTATACTTCAATAGAATAAAAAATTCCCCCCCTTATCTACCTGTAATGGTTTATTTATAGACCATTGCAAATATTATCGCTAACTGATTACATTGGGCCTATATTCAAGAGTTTTCTTCCTTTTGGGCCTGATTTTCCAACGGGCTTGATCTTCCTCAGTGGATCCTCCAGGTTCGGCCCATTCCGTGGTGCTTTTGTATAGGCCATACTTCAATTGTTCGACCCGATCCCATGCCAGCGAGCTATATCCGGCCCATGCCACTTACTGCATCCTCAATTGCCCCCATAATTACTCCTTATTGATTAGGGGGTAATTATTAGAGGCTGTTAATCATGACCTAACGGCTCGAGAAGATTGTGTGGGAGAATGGACGGTTAGATTTGGGGGTCGGCGTTTCGAGATTCAAAAAACTCATCGCTTTCCTGACTCCTCGGCCCTCGGGCCCACCTTGTCTTTATAAGCCTCATAGATGTTCCATCGATTCTCTTTACCGTCTCCATCTCACTTTCTGTTGTTCGAATCTTTTCCGGGCAATTTCTTGCAAAAGATCCTCCTTCCAGCGACCTTGCAGTACTTTTTGCCGTTCTCACTTTCTGAGGTTAGTTTCATTTGCATTTTTCTTTTGGAAGACCTCTCTCTCTTCCTTAAAATCTTCATTCATTCTCACCATGACTGTAGATCTAGACATTCTTTGCATGAAACTTCACCTCCCTGACGATGTAGAAATTAGAAATTGCCCCCGAGAGGTGAATATTAGAACCGGTGCTGGCCTTCTTCCCGGCGAGGTTCTGTTTTCACTCCTTCATCTTAATCTCCTTAGGTTCCCTTTGCATCCCTTCTTTTGCTATGTTTTCGACAAACTAAAACTTTCCCCTTTGCAAGTAAACCCAAATTTCCTTAGGATTTTGTCTGTTATGCTACTTGTGATCCGTGACAGAGGTCTGGATCTGGACCTCATAGATCTTCTCCTCTGTTACAAGGTTAGCAAGATCAGAACTGATGAATCATTTTACCACTTTTTCCCCATTGAGAAGAGGTCCATCTGAAGCAGTACGTTCTAACCAACGTTCCCTCCTACTCGGACCTCCTCACCTCAGACAACCTCCTCGCTCTCTCAGCCCTCGGCAAAACAATGAGCCAACTCCAGATCCCTTCCTTCGGTAGGAAGAAAACTGCCCCCAGGCCTGTTATCACCCCTGCATGAAATTCTTCACCAGCTTCAGCATCTTCCTCTGCTACCCTTTCTGATACCATTCCTTCCACCGATCCGACCGTGACGGTTATTGACCCGGTCGCCAACACAGCGATCGCTAGTCCGAACGTTACCCCTTCTGTCAGCAATCCTCCTGGCTCTACTACTACTTCCGCACGGGAAAAGGCAAGAGGAAAAAGGCACCAGCCTGATAGTGCCCTTAGCGTCGATGATGTTCCTTCATCTCAGAAGGTCAGGCCCTCTGGGCCGAATGTGATATCTCTAGCAAGACCTCCGCAAACTAGGCCCCCTACCACTTCTGGGCATGCCTCCGCTTCAGGAACGGCACCATGGAACCCTCGCTTCATTCGAATAGACGGATCGTCTGTAAAACCGACCGAGACCATGTTTAAGGATGGTCAGACCGCCATGGCTTACTACAGGAGCATGTGGACTCCCAAGGACATTGAGGTAGCCAAAGGTCTGTCTCAGAGGGAAGTGTTCAGCCAATTTCCCTTTTCTAGCCATGGAGGTAACTTCAGCCTCTTTGTCAATAAGTCTTTATACAGTCTTTACACTTATTTTCTTCTAACCATCTGCTCGGCTTAACCAGTTATCCTATATATCTCTACAGACCCTGTACGGGATGATGGCTATGTAGAAACAAGTTGAGCTTGTGAACGCCAAGGTCCGTGCACTTTCTGACAGCCTTAATGCAGCGAACAAGGAGAACAATGCTTTGGCTGCTCAGAAGATCGGGTTGATGGTTCAGCTTGGTAAGATTGAAAAGGAGAAGGATTCGCTGAGGAAGGAGACTGACTCTCTTCAGGATGAGAGGAATGCATTGCAGCTCGAAAAGAGCGTCTGGCATACTGAGCGGGAATCCCTTAAGGCTAAAAAGGAAGAACTGCTACGCCTTCTGAGTGATGAGCAATCCGCTCGGATGGCCTT